AGGTGACAGAGGGGTGGGACCTTCGAGGAGTTTTCTGCTTGGACATCTCTGTGCAGCAGCACAGCAAAAAGGTGGCCACAAAATACGTACCTGGGAAAATTTCAGGCTTTTTAAAATAGAGAAAACCATCCCCAAAAGCAGGACTGCAAGGCTCAAAAGGAGAGATTAAGCAATGTAAGACAGGCCATATAAAACCACCTTTTCTCCCGGCCTCCAAGTCAATAATTTCCAGAGGTATGAAGCTGCTTTAGTTCATCTGTGCATTAAATTCATATTTTTCTAAAAATTTAAAAAATCCTACCTGGCTCTCCACCTCCACCTGTGTCCCTCTTCTTTAGGTTAACAGACAAGAGCATCACCCTCGCCCCTCCTGAAAGGGTATGCTTGACCCATCGTTGTTATCCAGCCTGATTTATGTCTCTGAGACCTTATTATTACTAACCTGAAAGTGATTTTTATTTACTGGCCTCTACCTCTTTTACGAGCTGCACGTACTTGGTTTATTTTATCCTCTCCCAATTCCTCACCTTTCCAGCTAAAGCTACAAATAAGAATTTACTAACATCTCCCACCCTGTTTACCAACATCCCACCCGGGGCAGCAGAGTTTGTTTAACTTCTGAGAACTGCGACGTCCTCCTGGGCTTTAATCCACCTACTCGGAGGTGGAAAAATGCGCAGGGAGCTGAGGGCTGGAGGAGGAGGAGACTGAGGAAATTCAGACAAAAGGTAAGATGTGGCTGAACTCTCCGGGACTGTGTTCGGCTTTAAATGCCTGCAGCCTGCAATTCCGTGTAACCCGGGGAACAAAGGAATGCAGGCTATCACCCATTCAGCCCCTGAGGAGCAGATGGTCTCTGCTCCCATGAGCGGCTCATGCTCAGGACAGCTCATTGTTTCTCACCTCCTCTCTCCCCCAGCCGAGTTCTCCTCCCCAGCATCTGCACCCTCTGTTTGCTTTGGCTTTTCTTCAAGCTCCTTCCCCAGGCATCCTTCGGGAGCATCCCCTTTCCCAGCTGGTTCCCCTTGCATTGGAGAACTTCCTGCACTTTATTCATCTTTTGTAGCAGAGAGTGCTGCCTTGTCTGCTGCCCCACAGCAGGCAGAGCCTTCAGTGTGCTTATTCCTACTATTTTTAATTTCCAGCTTCAGTGTGAGGCCTCTGCACCTCGGGAGCATCGGGGAATGGCTGGCATTTGCCTGTCCCCATGGTCTGTGGGGACTGACCACCACCTCAGCTAAAAAACAGGGGGAAGTTTCACCAGATGCTGCCCAGGGGATGGGATCACACTGGACAATATCATTGCCTTGCCTGTTGTCTCTAAAAGCTCTTACCCTCACAGGGCACACCAAGCCAAACCCTCACTACACTTGTCCCCCAGCTCCCATTCCCACGAAGGGGGGTGATGGCTGGAAGCAGCATAACCCAACCAAAATACAAAGCAGAACTGAAGAACCTGAAGTAGCCCCTGGGTCCCTCTGCAGAGGTCCTGCTGGAGCCTGTCCCACCTCCTACCCCGTGGAAATTGGCTCGCCACGCTTGATTTCTTCATTTGTAATTGATACTGGTTTTGGAAGATCCCACTTCCCAGGCACCAGGACTTCTGTTTGTCCCTGCACAGGACTGTCACCCAAAATACTCAACAGCTTCAGAGCAATAGCTACAGCACCTTCACGCTGCGTGTGACACGCTGGGAAAACCCTGGAAAATTCAGATGCTGGTCCTGTGTGGTTTATAAGTGTTATAATCACAGATCACGGGAAATAGAAAGCAAAACTGGTGTCCTAACACCTGTGGTACCTCTTTGAGCATCCTTGAACACCAAGACCAGCATCTGAATTTTCCAAATAATTCTTAGTAAAGGGAGATGGACCAGGGTAAATCACCCCCCTCCCCACCGAGCTGCAAGCAACTGGGATACAGAAACAACCTCTGAGAATGGTCCTGCAGGAGGGAAGCAGGACAATTTGGGACTTGCTGTTGTTTGTGGACAGAGCTCTGGGATTAATTACCCCCGAGTGAGCATCCACACAAACACTGACACTGAAGCCTCTAATTGTCTTTTCCCTGGACAAACCCAACGCGTGACCCGGCTCAGCTTCCAAGCGCCCCGATCAAAGCAAGTGCTGGAAACGATGCTGTGTCTAAAACAAACACATATTTGGGCCCAAATCTCCTGTTTGCAGGCGCAGAGAGGAGATTTTTCAGTAGGGCCCTGAAACCACAGCGTGTTTGTCCAATTTCTCTGCAGCAAATTCGTTCCTTAGCAATGGAGGAGAGACCTGGAGGGAGGAACAAATAAATCAGAACGTGCAGGAAATTCAAAGGACTGTAGGCAGAGAGTAAGCACTGGAGAGAAAAGTTATGGCCAGACAAAAATGTAGAAGTTGGATCTCTTTGTTCAGCCATATGTATTCCCCCTGCAGTAACTCCTCTTCCCCTTCCCTTTCCCCTTCCCCTTCCTTTTCTTTTCCTCTTCCCTTTCCTCTTCTTTTTCCCTTTCCCCTTCCCCTTTCCCTTCCCTTTGCCTGGACAGGAAATCCCACCTGGACAAAGGAGATCTGGTCACATTCTCTGCAGAATGTAGATTTTAATAAGAGCAAGGTCTGACAAGGGAAGCCTAAACAGGCAGGGCACTGTGCTGGAGCAACTGTAAAGGGAATGAAATGATTTGATACCACATGATTTAAATATTTGGAAGAAATTTTTTTGCAATTAGTGTGGCAAGACACTGGCACAGGTTGCCCAAAGAAGCTGTGGCTGCCCTGTGCCTGGAAGAGTTCAAAGCCAGGCTGGATGGATTTCTGAGCAACCTGGGCTAGTGGAAGGTGTCCCTGCCCATGGTTTGATACCCTTTAAAGATCCCCTCCAACCCAAACCACTCTGTGACTCAGAGCTGGCAGTGCCCAGATCACAGCACTGTGATGATCCTGAGTCCAGTCCCATCTACATGTGGCACCCACCCACGTCCCTGCTCAGCTCCAGGGCAGGGGATGGCATCCTGCAGGGACTGGGGAAGGCTGCAGCCCTCATACCCTGGGGAAAGCCCCCCAATTTGGGGATGATGTGCCCCTGCCTCCCCCTGCACATCCTGGTCCTGCTGCAACCTGTCAGGACTCGTCCTCTGGCCGAGCTTCACACACCTTCCAGCCCTGCACACACGAACCACTGAGCAGCACACGAGAAGGACAAGCCTCTGCAGGTCCCAGCACAGCCCAAACCCGTGAAAGTTGGGAGAAAATTCCCCTTGGCCTTAGCAGGGCGCCGTACAGGGGTGCCCTAACCCTGAGGAAGGCAGCCCTGCAGTGGGATCCCGGATTCCTGCACGCCTTTGGGAAGGGGGAATAGTGAAAACATCCAAAACAAAGCTAAAATCAGCGTTGTGCTGTTTGCTGGGTGCTCCTGGTGGGACATGGGCTTTGCTGTGCAGTCCGAGCTTGTGCATGTGACAGGGACATCCCAGTGCACCTGATGCCACCTGGCAGCCAGGAGGGGACATGGCAGAGCTCCAGGAAACTGTGGAGAACAAGGACACCATCCTCTACAGCAAGAAATTCCTGGAAGCTGTGTGATGGAAGGGTCAGGTTGGATCTCAGGGAAAGGTCCTTCCCCCAGAGGGTGGTTGGGCACTGAACAGGCTCCCCAGGGCAGTGGGCACAGCCCCAAGGCTGCCAGAGCTCCAGGAGGGTTTGGATGATCCTCTCAGGCACATGGTGGGATTTTTTGGGGGTGTCCTGTCCTCCCAGCTCATGATGTCCCTTGACTCTGTGATTCTACCAAAGCAACTGGGTTTTGATAACACCGAATGGATGATCTTCCAACCGTCCTCCAAAAGCCTCAAGAAAACCCAAAGGAGCATCCCTGCATGCAAGTCTGACCAACAAAAGTCTGTCAGAAATGCTAAAAGCCAGTGAAAAACCAGAGCCTTGCAGCACCACTTCACAGGACAGGGGCTCTGGCTCCCCACGGTGATCCTGCCCCGATGCTGGTTTGGCTCACGGGTACCAAGTGGCACTGGTGATGTTTGAGTTAAGGGTCTGTCAGCATTTCCATCACAACCCTTTCATTTCGGGGATTTATTGCTTGGCTGTGAGGATTTGCTCCAGCTGGAAGCTTGGCAGGAAGGACCACGCACAGCAACGAATTTCCCTCATCCCTGAAAGCCTCTGAACAGTGGGAAGTTACACACAGGTCCCTAATTGAGGGTTGCAGCCTCCTTCAGAATCTGGCCCTTGCAGCTGAAAATGGCAAGGCCAGACCAGTGTGATTTCACTGCCTGGGGCCAGCTGGGAAACGGAGGTGTGGTATCAAAATCAGTCATAATACACATTTTCCAGCCCGAGGAAGAGGTGGCAGCACTGCTTGCACTCCCATCCATGCTCTCCATGCAACCTTTTCACTGGATTTTTATACCTTATATCCATGAGAAAATAAACAGGAAATATATCTGTTTTCACACTATGGAATAATAAGTTAAAACTGGAGGTTCTGCCTTGTCCAACTTCATATCAACCAAAACCTTTAATGGAACCGCCGCTGATTATAAATAACAGATTAATAATTCTCTTCAACTCGTCCTTGTATTACACCTTCGGGAATTAGGTCCTGGTTCCGGGGGAATGCAAAAGCAAGATTCTGAGGGGAAAAAAAAAAGAAAAAAGGAAAAAAAAGGAAAAAATAAAGAAAAAAAGAAAAAAGGGAAAAAAAGAAAAAATAAAAAAAAAGAAAAAAATTGGAAGGAAGAGCGGGAGAAAGGGGATGTTTTGAAACAGAAAATAGGGAGGTGGTTTGGGGCGGAGCGGGTCGAACCCCCCTCCCCTACCCCATACCCCCGGACCCCCTCCTCGCCCCCTGGCGGCCATGGCGGGGGGGGCGCGCAGCAGAACTACAACCCCCAGCAGGCAGCGCGCCCGCGGCGCACGCGCAGTGCGCGCCCCCGCCGCTCCGAGGCCGGGGCGGCCGCCCCGGCCCATCATGTAGGTGCAGCCGCGCCGGCCCCGAGCAGGGACCCCCGGCCCGGGCACGGCCCCAGCCCCGCCGGCCCCGCCGCCACCGCCGCCCCGCTGCACGCCGGGGCTGGCCGCGGACAGCGGGGCCGCCGCGCCGCAGCTTTGTTCGGGCAGCTCGCCCCTTCTCGGAGGAGCCGCACGGGGGAAGTCTTTGTGCGCGCCCTTCCCCCCCGGGCCAGGCGGGGGACAATGTCTCAGCCCCGAGGTGAGCGGGGGCTGCGGGGGCGGCCGCGGGACCTCGGCCGGGGGCGGCTGCAGGGGCGTGTGCGTGTGCAAGTGTGCGTGCGGGGCTGGGTGCCTCTGCATGTGCATTGCAATCGCGGGTGCGGGAGCCGCTGCGGGTGCGGGTGCACGCGTGTTTGCACGCCCGCAGAGCTCGGGGGTGCAGCGCCGGGTGCGGGTGCATGTGAGAGTGCAGTTGCATGTGAGTGTGCAATTGCATGTGAGCGTGCAATTGCATGTGTACGTGCAATTGCATGTGCGTGTGCAATTGCATGTGAGTACGTGCAATTGCATGTGAGTGTGCAATTGCGTGTGCATTGCGTGTGCAATTGCATGTGAGTGTGCGGGTGCATGTGAGTGTGCAGCTGAGTGTGCGTGTGCAATTGCAATGCGTGTGCGTGTGCAATTGCCTGTGAGTGTGCAGTTGCGTGTGCGGGCGTGCAGCTGCGTGTGCGGGTGCGTGTGAGTGTGCGGGTGCACGCGTGTTTGCACGCCCGCGTGTCCCGGGGGTGCCGCTCCCGGTGCAGCTCCCGGTGCAGCTCCCGCCGCATTTCCTGCTCCCTTGCGCCGCAGCAGCCCCGCGCTGGCTCCAGCCGGGATCCGCTCCCGGGATTACCGAGCCCCGGCGCGGCCGGGACGCAGGGAACAGGGGGTGTCGGAGGAGCAGCTGCAGCCGCGCTCGGTGCGGGGTTAAAGCAAACTTTTGAGACGAGTCCGCGGAGGAGATGAAAGGTGAAACTGGAGTGGAGTTACCAGGAATTAAATATATACCTATGTTTCCATGGGAAAGTATTGTTCTCGTGCCAGGGCTGAGATCATTTTCCACCCATTCCTCTCTCCCCCCCCCCCCAACCCCTCCTTTTAATATTTGGTAACTTTTGGTCAGAGGCAGCAGCGGGGGTTTGTCACACCAGGACGCTCGGAGCGTGCAAAAAGGCAGGAATGGAGCATTTGGGAGGTGCAGAAAGGCAGGAATTGGGGAGCTTGGGAGCTGCGGAAAGGCAGGAATGGAGCGTTTGGGAGCTGCAGGAACGGAGCGTTTGGGAGCTGCAGGAGGGCAGAAGTTGAGAATTCAGGACTTGCAAAAGGGTGGAAATTGGGCGTTCGGGAGATGCGAAAGGGCAGGAATTGGGCATTTGGGAGCTGCAGAAAGGCAGGAATGGAACATTTAGAGCTGCAGGAACGGAGCGTTTTGGAGCTGCAGGAGTGGAACGTTTAGGAGCTGCAGAGGGGCAGAAGTTGAGAATGCAGAAAGAAGTTGAGATGCAAAAAGGGCCAGAAATTGAGGAGTCTGGAAGCTGCAGAAACCGAGCATTGAGCAGCTGCACGAAGGGCAGGAATTGGGGTATTTAGGAGGTGCAGGAGGGCAGAAGTTGAACATTTGAGAGCTGCAGGCATTGAGCGCTTGGAGGCTGCAAAAGGGCAGAAATGGAGCCTTTAGGAGCTGCAGGAGGGCAGAAAGGGGCCCGGCCCCCCGGAGGCAGCGGGAGGGAGGTTTGGGAAGGGGACAGCAGTGATTTATTTTTGCCAGCGTGGTGGCGAGCGCTCGCTCTTCGCGTTGAACTCAGTGGTTATTCCGGAGCGGCTCTGCCTTGTGTCCTGCAAGGGAGGGGGGAGGAGGTGGAGAATTTAATATTGCAAAAATGCTGTGGGAATGCAACAGCCCCTGCAAGAGCAGGCGGAGAGGTTTAAGGAGGAGTTGCTCCGGCCATTCATTGTGAAAATAGATGCCCATATGTCAGCGAGCAGCCACACAGATGCAGCTTTTGGAGCCTTTTAAATGCTTGGAGACTGGATGTTGCAGCTTGGCTCTCCCTGCATCCTGCAGCCCTCGCACATATTTGGGATGAGGGGGGGTGAGAGGCAGCGCAGGGCCCAGTGGGAGCAGGTCCCAGACTGGGTTTTGGGGCTGCCTCTTGTTGTATTTATTTTTTTTTTTTTAATAAGCCATCTGTGAAGTCAGTGGCCTCTCCCAATAATCCTTGCAGGGAGGACATGGGGAAGGAGGTGCTTAGCAGAGCTCTTGCCACACAGTTTTCCTTTGTAAGAAAAATGTAAAGTTGTTGTATAATTTATTCCTAATTTGGGTTTGCTGCAGTCATCTTTTCCAGCCAGGCAGGGAATTGTAAAAGTTTCCGACAGAAAGAGCCAAGGAAGTTTGATAATGCAGAGTTGAACCCGGTGATACCCACAGTGCTCTGCCCCTGCCTGGGGGGTCCCTGGGAGACCCTCGGAGGGGCAGGGGGGCAGCTGCTGCTGCCTGGGGGTCCCCAAAAAGCCTCGGGGTGGGAAAACCTGAGTGTGCAGAGCTGGTGACAGGCAGGGACCTGTGCTGGTGGCCCTGCAGCTCGCCCTCCCCAGGGGCTGCTCCCCAGCCCTGTCCTTCTCCGTCCTCCTCTGCACCAGGAAAAGGGGAAAATGGGAGTAGCCAACCCACAAAACACGATCTCAATGAATGGCATCATTCTTGAGTCCCTTTTCCGTCCACCCCGCGCTCTGCAATCCCAGTGTCTGAGCTGGGATTCCTTACACGGATAACTTTTCCAAGTTCAGCTGTTCAGGCCGGGGTTCTGCTCGGGAAGGGGTTTCAGCTCCGGGGGTTTTGCACCAGAGGTGTCGTTCCTCGGGATGAATTAGGGGAGGCACAATCTGCGTTTCGGGATCAGCTTTCATGTGCTGCACAGGAGGTTCCTCGTCAGCTCTCTAAAATACAGCCCAGAGCCCCAACCAGCTGCTGAACCCTCTCCCTGCTTTGAATCCTTTCCAAAGTTGTTCTGAGAATTTGCCAGAGATTAATTTTTTTTTTTTTTTGATGCAGCTTGTCAGGGGAGCATGTGAGCAGGAGGGTTGTTCCTCCACCAGGCTTATTCCCTGCAAGGAGTTCTCACCCAGCTCAGGGGGACCCTACCTGTGCCACATGAGCAAGCAGAGGTGATCTGCCTCCTGCACAACCACAGCATGGGCTGCAAAGGTCAAAACTCCCCCTGGAATTCAGAAACAACAGTTTCATTCGGGCCCTTTCCATGGGCAGGAAGGAGCAGATGCCTCCAGCACATGGACCCTGATGGGCTCCCCAGGAGGGATTATTCCCTGGACAATCCCACCCTGGAGAAGCCACCTGCAAACGTGCAGATTTCTCCATTGAAAGGAGAGGAGGGCAGGGGGAGCAGTTCCCATTAGAGCACTGATTCGTAAATAGCACATGGAAATGAGCGCCACTTAAACTAAATATTGCTGCCCCTTGATCTTCCTTCCACTCGGTGGTTTCAAATGCAGTTTTCTGTGCTTGAGCTGCAAAAGGGAAGACTGAGATTGTGAGCAGCACGTCCCACGTGATGCTGGCTGAGCGTGTACCCTCTGGACTTTGACCAAAGGCCCTGCACCTATTCAAAATATCACATTTTTATGTGAAACACTCTTTTCCCTCAACCCCCCCAGCTAAAAGTCTCAGTGGAGCAGATGTAGAGGCTCAGACGGTGGTAGCTGTTGTTTTTTTAAATCCTAGGTAGGTGGCAGGTTGTTGCTGGTGTAAGATTAACCCGTGAGCAGCTCCTGTGGGTTGTGCAATGTGCGTTTTGCCTCGTCAGCACCACCTCAGCTTCTCCCCACTCACACTCACTCCCGTGACACAGGGCCTGGCAAGGGCACAGGGAGCATGGTCAGCCAGGTGCAAGCCTAACAAAGCCTGGACTAGCAGCAAACAGCCAATTTCAGTTGGAGTTGTTGATTTCTTTTTAATTTAATTTTATTTTTTTAAGGGTACCTTGTTGAATTAGCTTCGCCCTGTTGCGTGTGCCACCTGCCCTGCTGCAGGGATGGAGGTGCCTGTGGACCTGCTTTGGGTTGAGAGGGGGCAAATGTTTATAAAGAGGTTTAAAAGCCTCGTGCAGTGCCGGGCTGGAGGAATTAACCAGCATGGGAAGAGGGAAAACCAGCTGGTTGGGGTAGAAAGTTTTTGGCTGGAGGTGATGTCTGGCATAAACCAAATCACTGCTGTGCCCAGGGAGCTGAGCCACCTGGCTGAGCCCCTCCAGCCGCTGTGTTCTGCTGCCTGCACCCCCTGCAGTGTCCTAAGGAGGTGTTTTTAGGGTGCCCTGTCCCCATATCCCGACATGTCACGACAGCAGCAACGTGCTGGTCAGGGCAGCACCTCCCCAGTGCTTGGGCAGGGACAGCACACAAGCATTTAAAAGCTCAAGCTATAGAAGCAATTATAGCAATAAAAGTGATAAGTTGCAGGGGAAAGAGAGCAAAGAGCTGCTTTCTCCTCAGTGCCACACCAAGTGCTGCTGCTTTGTTACTTCAGTCTCCAAAAACCCCGAGGTTCCTTCGGGGTGAGTTCCCTCCTGTGACACACACACACACAAGCTGCTAAGGTGAAGCAAATGATGCTCAATTAAAACCACAGGAGTAATTTAGAGATGAGACACCTCATTCCTCCCAGAGTACTGGCATTAATGGAACACAGATTTGCAGGTTCTGGGTCCTGTAGTTGCAAATACAGAAGGTGACTAAAAAGTTGCCTTTTTCTCCCCAAACAGCACCTGTGTTTGTTGTCACTTGCCCGTTTTCTCTTGCTGAAAGGAGCTGTAGCAACACCTACAGAAGCCTCTGAGAAAAGGTTTGAAAACCACCACACCTGAAAGAAAGCTCTGATCCCTTTTTTAAGTTGGAAAAAAAGAAGAACAGTGTGGGAGTTTTGCATGGGAATGCAAGTTCATGGGGCTCCCTGCCTTCACCCCATGAACTTGCATCCCTGATGCTCAGCCTGCCCACAGGGGCTGCTCCAGCTCCAAGGGCAAAGCTCTGCACTTCACGTGCTGGGCAGGTCCCAGCTTTGCTGGCAGCGGGTGGCACAGCTAATTCTGAGTAAGAATGACTCACCTGAGCACGCAGGTGTCCCTTGCTGCATTCACTCAGTGTTTTGGGGGATCAGTTTGGGGTTCATTGGAGTTGGCAGCTTGGCCACCAGCAGCATTATTG